ACGATGCCGGCGTTGTGTCGAAGTCCGCCGACGGCCTGGCGAGGATGATGACCATTATCGTGGAGGTGTTCCGGGAGTTCGGGCTGACGGTGTCGGAGAGGAAGACGGAGACCCTGGTGATGCGGGTGAAGGAGAGACAGCGACCGCCGCCGCCGCCACCGTTGGTGCTGACCATCGAAGCAGCGGGGCAAAGGTACGCACAGACGACCGAGTTCCGATACCTGGGCGGCCTCGTCAACGAGCAGGGCGACCTTACCCGAGAGATCAACCACAGGAGCAAAGCAGCGTGGGCGTGCATTAAGCGATACGCCACGGAGCTCTTCGACCGACCGGGAGCACCGTTTCGCCTCAAAGCCCGCCTGCTCCAGGCGGAGGCAGTGGAGGCACTGCTATACGGCTGCATGACATGGTCCCCACGCCGCAACCACTACGGAATGCTGCAGACGACACACCACCGGCTACTCCTGCGAGTCATCGGCTACCGGCGCAAACGAGGCACCTACCGGCAGCTGTCATACGCCCAGGCGCTAAAGAGGGTCGGCTGCCAGAGCGTGGAGGCCACTGTCCGTCAACGGCGCCTGCTCTTTGCGGGGGCCGTGGCAAGACAGCCGGACGGGCGGCTTCCGAAACGGCTGATGTTCGGCGAGTTGGTGGGAGGGGAGGACCCGGGCCAGGGAAACCCGGAGCAGAACTGGCTGACATGCCTGAAGGACGACATGAAGATGTTCGAAGCCAGGTACGGCTCCACGACCGACAAGCCGAGCGTCTTCGGAGTCCCGAAGTTAGTCAGAGTGTGGAAGCACATTTGTGATAGAAGTGTACACATCACTGTGAATTTGTCGTAAATTTGTCTTGCCAATCGGAACTACATCCCCCATCGCCGCCACCGCACCATCGAAACCCACTACCCCCACCACTTCACTCCGACCATCACCGCCGCTACTATCCCCACTGCATTACCGCCACCACTATTAATAATAGTACGACACCATCCACCACACAAGCATAACCCACCCCCCCGGCCACCACCACGCCATACCCTCAACACGAAAGTCTTGATCAAATCCCATCCAGGGCCGGTGCCAGCTCTCAGGCTGCGTCTACCCCGGCCTCGCACCTCTGTCTGCGCTACTGGCGTTATCAACACCACCACAAGCGCCACCGCAAAAAATCGAAACCTACTACTGCTAGTTTTTTGTGTCGCCCACCCCCGCCCCCCCCCCCCGGTGTTTGCCATCGGGGTTGGGTTTTCACCGCTTGGCAACGACGTTGTAAGACAAGCCGCCCCCACCCCGGTGAAACCAAGAATAAGGAGGGTCTAGAAGTGCACGGAATGTTGAAAGAAGGAATAGGGTTCNGGTACAAGAAGAGGGAAGTGCACGTGACTGAGCTGGGGAAAATAGATGGAACATACAGGGACATGTTTGAGGCATGGAATAGAGAGGAAAGGACGGCAGCTGTACTGGGGCATAGGAGGTGGGTTGAAAAGGCGGGAAGGGATATCGTTAGGATAGACAGACTAGGGAAGACATTTTTGAGCCACCTTTGGCAAAGTAG